TTTTTTTTCGACGTATATTTTAGCTGCAGCATCTAAGTAGTCGCGCTTTGTCACCATGATAATTGCGCATCTGAGATTCGCTAAGACAGTTATTTGTTTGCTTGGCCGATGATTTCCTGAAATATACCAATTTCTATTATAGAAAAACACGCACATTCTTACCAATTACAAGTCCCAATAAGTTTCTAACGACTCTACAAATCCTGCATAAATAATACAAAAATCCTCTTAAATTATTAGATGGTGTCGTCGATGAAGAATCGAATGGCCTATTTAAGATTTGACTTTATTGAGCTTTATTGTGATTATTATAAAATGAAGAAATAGTGTCTTGCCTAAGAATATCTTCACTCCATATTTATTTTATCCGTATATTTTAACCGAATGGAGTGAGTTTTTGTTAGCATAACGACAATTAATAATTTGATAAAAATATAAATTTGAAGTTGGTTGATGCCTCTCATGATATAGGGCACACCCAAACAAAGAAAATATTCTTCTACAAAACTATGTGACAAAAAAATCTTTGCGCACATATGAGACTATTTTCTGTGATAAGAAAGATTAAAGGACTAATACTTTATACATTCTACAAACATACCAGAAGTGCTACTATAAAGCATAAAAAATTGAAAAAATCAATCGATTAAATTAATGACCAAAATCGATTCATTAAATAGAAGTCACTCACTATTTCTACTGCCTACCGTCAACTCAATATAAAAAGATCCCAAAAAGAATAAAAACTACGGTCTATAATTAGTCAAAAAAAATTTAAAAACTTTATTTAATAACTATGTAGTATAGTAGTATCGTTTCTGCACTGTTTCTTAGAAAAAGATTCGTATTATAGCATACATAGCATGTTATTCCGCAAAAATAATACTTTTCCAATAAAAACTATTCCAAAATTGACCGTACTACATGGCCATGATCTTGTACTCTTTAGCTGGAGAGTATAATGTTTATCTAAAATAATATAATATAGATCAGTTTTTTCTTCAGAACTAATGGAATCAAATATCGACGCAGCAACGTTTATTTATCTTTCATCTGACGAAGCTAGTGCGCTCATGGATGAAGATTTTTCTATTTACTTTTCCGAATCACCCTCACAAACAAATTCTGCAGCTGCATATACAGCTGATAACGGACAACCTCTACCATCATTATCAACACCACGAACAACAACACCGACTGGAGAGCTACCATTCGATCATTACGCTAGTCTAGAAATTAACAGCATGACATTAGGACAAGATGAAATAGCTGCTGAGACCGCACGGATTCGTCGCAAGTGGGTAGAAGAAAAAGACACACTCATGGCTCGACTTGTTGTCGATTTAACTAAGCCTGAGATCGGCAGTATTTGTCAGTGGGAAAGATTAGTCAACAGTGTTGATGTCGTTTTAGACGACTTTTTGCCTGAAAACATACCAAACTTGTTTCAACACAACAAAAAGGTGATTGAGTCGTTTGCTGATTGGACTGTTGCATTTATGTCTTTTCGAAAGGCAGTTCTTTATATATTCAAACATCGAGGCCCTGAACTAGATGCACATTTCGTTCACATCTCTAAACTCTACAGAGATTCTTATTCAATCAAACTTATATTGGCCTATGAAAAAGATGTTCGTCATCATATGGCCACAATGCCCGATCTAAGTTTATTTTCTGACTTTTCCTCTCTGTGGAACAAACATTTCATGAATGTTCAATCGACAACTTCTGCCAAAAAGACACGAGAACAGAAACAAATCTGCCCCAATTACAACAGCCATTTCAAGCGATGTAAAACATCGAAAAAGTGTTCACGACTTCATATTTGTTCTATTTGTTTCAACTCAATGAAAGTTCAGAGGAAACATCCTGCTGCGTTTTGTCCTGCTCAACGAAGTAATGGGCGGCGAAAACATCCGTCAAGATTACCGTTTACATCTAATGTGCTATCAATAACATCTCAAGGACACCGTCCATCACACTACCCTTATTAAGATATGGGAACAAACAATACTAATATACTATTTTTATTTTAAAACTATTGTAAAAGTTTTGTGGATGTGGGTATGAGCGTTGATGTTTAGCGATCGAATTAGGAAAAGCGTCCCAATCTCATCATAGACACATTTAAAAAACGAATAAAAATAAAGACTAAAATTTAAAAAAATTATGCCAATAGATAGAATAATCTGGTGAATCTAATGATGTTCTTTGTTTATCAAAACAAAAACCTTCTTCTGAGCAGTACCATCGATTCCTATGTATTAATCGAAACAGGACAAACAAAATAGTTTGTGCAATCGCAGTAGGAGAGTAACAAAATAGAGAAAAGTGAAAATTATTGATTTTTGTAATGATGATTACTCATTGAAGACTAGTTAATTTTTGAAAGGAAAAAATTGATCGAAATACAGAGCGTCGATCACTCTGTTCCAGAGAAAAAGAATAAACTCAAATGGAAGTCGTTGAACAAAATTATGAATCATTTTTTAAAAACCGTGGGAAATAGTGATCAAATTTGGGTGGGGTGCTCTAGTTACTGCATTCGTAACAAAACTAGATTTTTTAATGTATCTCATTTTACGAGCTATTCAAAATCAAGAACATTTAAAAAATACCGTAACAATTCAAAGCGTTATAATAAATAATTGCGAAAAAAGAAACTTACAGATTTTTGATGGTCAGCCACCCAATAAAAATAATCCGAAATTCAACAAGAAAGGAATCAGCTATTTAAATAATTTATGATTTTAGACAACTACTGGAACCAAATAGCTTGGAAAATTGAATAAAAATATCTAGTTTTAATTAAATAGTTACTCCGTTCCTAGCAATATGTGATTCATTAACGTACATCATTTGATGCGCTATTCAAAGCTAGGATCATTAAAGAATTATCATAGCAATTTAAATTTTTTGATACCTATTCGCGAAAAAAGAATCTCACGGGATCTCCATAGTCAGCCATCCAATAAAAGAACAGATGAGAAATTCTGTAGGAGAGGAGTCAGCTACTTAAATAATTTAATAGTTGTGCATATTTGTTCAAATAGCTATAGTGTTTAAATAAAAAGTATCTCTTTTGAGAAACTACGTTTCCTTCGATTGCTATTGGTAAAAGAAGACAAGCATATGCAATATAAACTATACTTTATTTAAGATGTAAGATATAAGATATTGAAACGCACAAATAATGAGAGAAATACTAAGTTTTGTTACCACAAAGAAACGGGTTAGCGTGCAAAAAATTTGAATAAAACGGGAAAATAAAACGTGAAGATAAAATAAAAAAAGTAATGAGTTAGTATGAAAAAATTGAGCAAAATAAAAAAATTAGCATTGAAGATAAAATAAAAAAAAAGCAATGGATTAACTAGCATGACAAAAATTGAATAAAATAGAAAAAATAAGGCTGAAGGTTAAATAATGAAGAAAAATGTTCTGTAATGTCTTGACACTCAACAAAGTTGTTTGAAAGAATTATCGCTTCTTCTGTAGATGGTGGTCCTTAAAGAGAACAGACAATGTAATCAAATAAAAACAAATATTTTGGAGATTTTAGTATCAGACAAAGAATGCGAGCAATTTATCCTTTGCTAACATTGAATCTTTGGTCTGCTACCAAAATTAGTTCTATTCTTGTAACATACCTGGATGACTAACGACGACGATCATCATCTTCACTGCTATCGCGAGCATCAAAGATACGACGACGGACACCATGAAAAACATGATCCTTAAGAGCACGGCTTCTAACAACAGCAGTTGGACAACAGGCGTTACAACAAGCAAGACATTGAGCAAGAAACGCATTTTCATATTCACAAGACGCAGTACAATCAGCATAGTGATGAGAACCCCCAGGACAATAATATGCACCACCACCTTTACCAGCTGTACTGCTACCAGCAAAGTATTGATAAAATGTTAAATGATAACCACCAGAAGTATCAGAACTAGCACCACAAACGTTGCTGCTAGGACTACAAGTATTCGGTGCAGGTATTGGTGCAGGTGTAGCTATAAGAAAGTACAGTTCAACTTTTTTCAAGTTTTCAAGAAAAACATTAAAACTACTGATCCAGTGAACCACCAAACGAAAAACTGTTAACGTAATCCCTATGGGATTAAGAATGTGAAACACGATAGAGCTTCCTATGTTGTAAACGAAGCGATTTAGCAACCTATAGAGCCGTTGTAAAACTAATATGTATGTGTATATGTTGACACATTATAATAACATATAACCTGTCGCTTAGGATCTGTGACGGGGTCATGAATTCTGCCGGTTACCAAGTACGCGGGTGGGTGTTGGTGTGAGTAGCCGAGGATGTGGATGAGAAAATAACACTCACACACTCTGAAATTTTCAAATTTATATCACCTACTAAAGAGAAATGGCACTATGCTCAAGTTATATATGTCGTCATAGGTCTAGCTACGCGTATACTCAGACAATCCATTTCATCTTTTGGGTACATAACTAGCATGTAAAGGCGCACCGTTCTACCAAAAAAAGTTACAAAAAACACTAGGTATCCTGGACAGCACGGCATAAACGTTTCTAGTCAGCTTTTTCCTTATCCTCAAGATAGCGCTGTTAAAGAAAACCTGTGAGGGTAATGCCTTCGTTATACAGAAGAATCAACAAGGTATTTATCTATCTTAAGGGTGGCAGTATTTACTTTATTTTTTATTTACTTTCCTAATGTAAAGTAACTACAGGAGTTACTTATTACTAGTAAAGTAAAGATAAACTAC